TGCAGCTAACAATGCATCATTTTTCAGTTTTAACCTACATGCCATCTTTCCTATGCAAAAAGGTATATTTCCTTAATTACATATGTTTTACCATTCATCTGTCTCACAGTAAAAAAATGAGTAAAACTAAAAAGTTCGGATCATTCGGCCATGTGGGATAGAGAGGCCACAAATATATTTTGTGATCTTTGTGTGACGGAGGTCGAGTTGGGAAATAGACTCACTGTCTATTTTAATAAGGAAAGTTGGCAGAATCTCGCGAGTAAATTCAAGGAATTAACCGGAAGGAATTAAGATCATATGAAACTCAAAAGCAAGTGGGATCAATTGAAAAAAAAAACTGGAAACTTTGAAAAGAACTCAAAAGATGATCAACTAGATTTGGATGATATCTACTAAAGCGGACAATTGATACACCTGAGGAATGGTGGGCAGAAAATTTAGAGGTAAATACATGAGTATTTCCACATATATTCACCTTAATTTTTTTTTTACTATTGAATTCATTTTTTCTGTTACTACTGGCAGTGCCAGCAGCAAAAAAATTCAAAATGACTGTCATTGAACCAGTCTTGGAGGAGAAGTTGGATGGTATGTTCATTGGCGTTGTAGCAACAGGAGCTCATACTTTCACCCCATATGAGCAGGGCTTCGCCAACTTAGCACAAGATATGGAGACCAAGCATATAGCTGACTCGGAAGAAGATCCTAGCCAAATCCACACAGATGTTCAATCCACTGACGGAACAAAATATCCCCGACCTGAAAAAAAGAAAAAAGGCGTTGCATTTGTTAGAGGTACTATTGAGACATTACTTGAAACCTGCAAAACAAGGTTTGAGTCAGCGAAGGACAACACAATTCAGGAGTGTGTTCAAATCCTCAACACATATCTTGGTATTAAGGAAGACGAAGCTATGTATGTAAAGTACGTGAAGTTGCTAGAGAACTCAACGCGCAGACAGTTCTTTGCGACTTTGGAGTCTGAATTCTGACTGGCCTACTTGTGATCTTTCATGAACAATTAACTACTCTTTACTTTATCTTTATTTCTACTGTCATATTTTTGTAATATTTATGTGATGGACTCTTTTTAATTTATTTCTATGGACGCACTTTTGTTTATCTTTGATCGTATTATGTACTTTATCATTTCAATCATGAATATGTTATACATGTAACGTTGCAATTGTCACATATTATTTATTATGTTGTTTAAAAATCTATCATTTTTCAAATTTTATTCAATGGATGAAGAACAAGTTAATCACAACCGCATTGTTGCTCTCATTCTTACCTTGCTATATCATTACTATCATGCATATGTTGATCGAAACTCATGTATGACGTCGATTCATATTCGAGATAGATGAGTCGGGGAGTTATTACACGGTCACCCTAAACGTTTCGCGAACATGTTCCGTATGACGAAAGTAATATTTTTGGACCTACTTAATCAACTTCGGACCCTTCATGGATTACAAGGTTCATCAAGAACGACAACTAGAGAGGTGTTGGTAATTACGCTATACATTTTATCCCAGAAGGAATCCATTAGAAAAGTTATGAAACGGTTTCAACATTCCTCAAAAATCATCGACAGATATTTCTCAGTTGAATTGAATGCGCTAGTGAGTTTGGCATATGAAATAGTCAAGTCAGAGGATCCATCATTTCAGTCCAACCCCACACTTGTTGCAAATGACCCTCGATACATGTTCTTCAATGTCATTCTCTAACATAAATTTCAGTTACTGTGATGGTAAACATGTGATTTTCTTATTGAGTATTTCATGCACCATAGGACTGCATAGGAGCTATAGACGGAACACATGTCGATGCACGTCTTTCTGGCACAGAGAATGTTTCATACATCAAACGGTGTGGATCCCCAACACAAAATATTATGACAGTGTGATTTCAACATGTGTTTTAAATTCGTGATGGTTGGATGAGAAGTTAGCGCACACGATAGTCGTATTTTCAAGTTTGCCACTAGAAACTGAATATATGGTTTCACTTATCCACTACCAGGTATGACAGTCTAGTTTCACTTTTGGGCATATGAGTTGTTTTAAATTTGATAATTAACAAAAAATAAATAAACAGGGAAGTATTATTTGGTCGATGTCGGGTACCCCTTACAAAGAGGATATTTGAAGCCATATCCGGATACGAAATATCATATACCTAATTTTGCAAGACCTAGCAGAGTTGCACGAGGCAAAAAAGAAATATTTAACAAAAAACATTCGTCCTTGCGCGGTGTCATCGAAAGATCATTCGGGGTCTTGAAGAAGAAATGAGTTATTTTATGTGATATGTCAACTTATTAATGGAGCCTGTTGGTTCCAGTATTTGGAAAGTTTTTTAGATGGGCAAGCATTTTAGATAGGGTTGCATCACTATTTGGTTCCAGCATCTCTCTTGCATTTTGGTAAGGTTATCCTATTCTTACAGTTGTGGTTATCCTATATCTGGGATGACTAACAATTATGAGTTTGAATTACCTGGTGCTTCTACACTTTTTGCAATACAGATGGGGGTTTGAATTATCTGCTGCTTCTTTTTTTATCGAAGCAACCCTGTATATGTTTGATTCATTTGTTTTGTTGCATTGGTTTGATAGTTTTTGGTTCAATTTTAAGTGCATGGGGAAAAATAATTGAAACAAGTTGTTAGTTGTTTGTTCGTTTTTTCATGGATTGGGAGAAAGTTGTCTGTTGTTATGGTGCTTAAAATTGAAATTACATGATCTTCTTTCTTTCGAATTATTTGTTGTTTCATTTGGGAGCTTCAAAGTACCTGCTGCTTTGTTATGACATGTTCCTGTGTAAATGGATTTGAAAAATGATTTTCATGGCATGGGGAAAATATTTGAAACATGATTTTCAGTTTCAGGGATTGAAGTTACCTACTACTATGGTGCTTAATTTGTTTGGATATATGGATTTATGAAGTTGTTTTGCTATTACCTGTTCCCATGTAAATGCAAATATGTTTGGATATATGGATTTAGGGACCAAATGCTACTATATGGATTTAAGTCCTATTAATTTTTTTTAATACTAAATTCTGTTGATTTTATTGAGATAACTGTGGAGCGGTTTGGATGGCTACAGAAATTTGTTGTCATCAATCACTACCTCTATACTTTAGTAAGTATATTTTCTATATTTCCTCAAATTTTTTACTGATCTATTTTATTTTTAATAACTGCAGAACGATGAATTTGAAATATTCAGGGAAGTCCGGGGAAGTGATGTGTCAGTGTCGGTTATCGTCATTGCTACTCACGTCACGCCAGCCACATAGTTACGGGAGGCAATTTTACATGTGCCCGTGCTAGGCACAAGGACAGGAGGACTGCACTTTCTTATGTGGGTCGGCAGAGAGTGTTTGGATAATATCCCAACTGATCACTGCTGCTCGGAGTTCATCGGTATCACAATTTCATAACACTGTATCTGGTTCGAATGCTTCCATTTTTACAGTATCCCAGTCGAACAGGTTTGCTCAGGATTCTGGAGTGTCAGAGTCGGGCAGCAAGGGTCGTGATATGCTACTACATTTTAAAGTCAATATTATAATTTTTTCTTTGTCATTTTAACATTTTTTTTCCTTTTTTGGAGTCTCATTATACTTCATATTAGTATGTGAATGTGCATTTTACTTTTGTATATATAACTGTACTTGTTTGATGTGATTAGAAATATTTAAGTTATACTCAACTTTTTTGTATTTTCTCGTTTTAATATTTGATCTTTAATTTTGCTGAGATAATAACAAATTCTGCGTGACAGATTATTTATTCAACTAAAAAAATCTGCAAATAAGTTATTTACAAAACGCACAAACCAAACAGCTAAACAGTTTATCCAGAACATTGGCAGAATGGTCATTTATCCAGAATCAGCCGTTTTCCAAATGCACAAACCAAATAGCCAGTCAGCTTATCCAGATCAGATGTTCATCAGCAGATTATTAGGATAAATTGTTTATCAGTAGAAGCTGGATAATCTGCAGCTGCCCCAAGCCGACCCTTAACCTCTCTATGGTATAGTTCTTTGCACCCCATAAGAAGCATGGTGTACATTAATGAATCATGTTTTGTTATCATACCATTCCAGTGCCAACATCATTATGCACTTATTTTATTAGTTTATAATTAATCCATAAATTTCAGTCAATGAAGTTAGTGTTATTACTAAAAGTTTGATTATTCTACTACCTTTAAAAAATCCAAGGGAGCTCTAATGTCATTATGATTTGAATAAAATGTGATGCTTATCATGGCTTCCCCCACCACCTAGGTTGAGTGATTGATTCATCTTTTCCCTCTTTTTTTGTTCTCTTGTCTTCCTCGTATTACTTGTTTTCAACTTCTTTCGGGAGTTTTCAAGTGATCCATTATAAATCTGCAACAAAATCATGACCATTTTGATATTCCTTTATTTCATATTATTTTGAAAAATGTGATAAATAAATTAATTCCACCTATCATAATTAGTATAAATTTTTAGTGGCAGCTATTCAGAATTTTACATTTAATGTTTCAACAAAAAATTCAAGAAAAACTAGATGCCAGCAAACTCATTTTGCATTAAACCTAATACAAAATAAGAAATTCAGCAGACCCTAAAGCAACCAAAATATAGTAAATAACACAAAAATCCCGGATGCTTGGTTTCAAGATTATGCAACTTCAATAAATGAATCAAGAAAACACCAGTATATCAAGAGAAAATCATGTCAAGATTGCTGATCCAATAAGAAGTACTTCTGTGCTGGTTCTCAAGGAAATTTTATCAAGTGTATCACATTTGCGGTGAATGGATTCATCAAAGACTTTCAGTTCATATGCCCTGCTTTTATATCTTTCGTAATTAAGAAAAAAGACCCGTGCACAATTCAGGATAACATCAAGCAGCTGATCAAGTAACAAACTGCTTCTGAAATTGTAAAAAAAAAAGGATGCATGGAAAAGCATGTAGCAATACCTTTCTCAACATGATGACAATAAAAGCTTTCTCAGCAACATTGTTCTCTGCCAAGGTTGTGTCGTCTTTGAGAACTTTTCCTTGATGTATAAGCATTTGTTGATCTGCAGGGTAAACACTTTGTCCTTGTGAAGTTTCTATATTTTTCTTTACTTCAGCAACCTGCAAGAAAAATTAGCATATGTACACTGATAATATGTCTTCTAAAAATATTCTAAAAGAAAACAAAAGAACATACACCAAAAAGCCACCACCTACCCCTACTATAACAAAAAAAAAGCAAAAATTCGCCATGAAAAATCAAACAAGTCCAAGTATTAGTCATAAATCTAAAAAAAAGAGAGATTGCATCTCAAAATAAAACAAAAAAATAACTTAAATTTTATTAAATAAGCATTAAATTACTATATAACGTATAAACCAAACAATGCTGAAAGAAAGATGCAACTTAAATAAAAATGCTGGAAGCAAAAACAATATTCCCTTAAGATAAAATTATCAAACCAACAAAATATAGAGGAAAAAAAAAAACTGTGGATAATGCACATTTCAGTTCACCAAGCCTAATTCTAATTGTTTTGCTCCAAAGAAATAAAACATAACAAGACGGACGAATTCCCAATGAGCAAGCAATAGCCCCAAATAACATTACTACTGCAACCTAATCCGAACAATCTAATCCACACGGAAGTAAACCCAAACCCCGTCCCCAATAACAAAGTCAGAAAACAAGAAAAAACCTAATAGCTCCTGCTAGGAAATCATTCAACGATTACATGATAAAGATTATAAAAATAATCTCGATTAAAAACGTAAAGATAAAGGAATTATGACGAGAAAATACCGTGTCATCCGGCTTCACTTCGATCTCGAAGTGGGAGCCCTTTAGGGTTTTGACGAAGATCTGCATCTCTACTTGAGCAAGGGATCGCCGACAACGTCTCGTCTCTCGCCTTCTTCTTGAGGGCGGTCGAGGGATACACTGCTAGGGCTCGCTCGCTCTCAGCAAATGGGCGGAAAATTAAACATAAAGATAAAAGGTGGTTCGATTCTTTGGATCTTTCTGGTGGAAGATCAGCGAGCGAATTTCCCAAGCTCCGCCTCCCTATCCCTTCGTCTCGCAGTGCAAAATGCTGAAAAACAAGAAAAGTTATAATATTCATATTATATATATAACATATTTTAAAACTTTTTTTTTAAGTGTAAAATAAATTAAATTATTAAATTATAGCATATTTAATCTTATTTAGAATTGGATCAATAATTTAAAGGGTCAATTACATACTATTTACAAATTAATTTTTCAATTTTCATTTTTTACTAAATTTTCAATAATTTGATCTTCGTTATTAGTGTAAAGGAGCTGAACATGAGGGAGTTGAGATTATATCTGTGTTCTACTCGTTTGAAATTACTTGTGTTCAAAATTGGCATGATTGATTTTATTCGTGAAATTTAAATTCGTGTTTGGTTTGATTTTGCTTGAACGGTTCGTTATGAGCTTGATTCTCATGGGCCAACTCAAACTTTTATTAATTTTTTTATATTAGAAAGCTATCTTTGTTTGTTTTTTTAAAATCGATCTAGTCTTCTAAATATAAAACTTGAGATGTGGAACAAAACTTATCTAGGTGGGTGGAGGTAGATTTTTGAAAAGTGAGTGATTTCTTTGTAGCATTTACACGCATACCACCCATTTCTTATATATTTACAGTTTTTATGCTCTTCATTTGATTACTAAACTTTGGCTTGCACGAAACCAATGTGAATGACGTCGTTGGAGAAGATGACATGATTAGTTTTTTCGCGGAGGGAGAGAAGATGCCTCAATAGATGCATCTTTTAAGGCACTAAAGTGACACCTTTTTTTTAGGAATATTTTCACTTTTCTATTGACATTTATTAACTATTTACATTTTTATTAACTTTATCAACTATTACCTATTATTTTTTTTTTTGCAGCAGATTTTATAATTAATAAAATTAAACATTTTTAAATGCATTATAAACATTAATATACTATGAATAGATTTTGTTAGGTGTTGTGGGTTTGGTCGTCCACACGAGGCGAGTTGTCGGGTCGATACTAGTCAGCATAGCCACATGCCATTGGAATGGTTGTTTGTTCCATAGAGGAAGCACTATGTTAGGAATCACCTTCATGGCCAATCCCTTGAGAAACTGAGTGACCTCCAATTACAAGTCTTAGACTTAACTCCTGGTGGGTTGGAATCTCAATTTTTCACGGTTTTTGCACTTCCAAACTTGGTTATAATAGTTGGATCATGAAGAATAGGAAAAACTTTATAGCTAGTACATTCTACAAGATCGTGGGAGGTTCGTAGGATGGGAAAAGCTTTGCAGCTAGTCGAACAGTGAAGTACTTCTTCTATGAGAAATTAGAGAATATAGTTCTCCAAATTTCCTCGACAAAGTTGAAGACGGCTATGTCGCAAATCCAGAAGCTAAACCCTAGGCTCCTATGTGAGTACGTTTGGGTAAGCATGTTTTGCGATTGTGTGCGATGATCGCATTACATTGCATGTTTCGTTGTGATATATATTGCATGGTATTTTTTTTGCACGTTACACTTGGGTACAATCAGCAGCCCCGACACGGTCAACCTTTCTTCGATCTGATTGTTTGTCCTAGCTCGTCGACCAATCATTTTGGTTCGATCGACAGCCTCGGCAAGGTCGACCGATCACTTTAATCCGACCGGTTGTCCCAACCCGATTCGACCAATTTCCCACCCATGCCCAGTCAACCAACCAACTCGGCTCAACCGACCGCCCCCTCCCGGTCAATCAATCACTTTAGGTTTAATCGGTCTCACAGACCCTATTGATTGAACACTTTAGATCCAATTGGCTACCTTGTTCCAGTCGACCGATCACTTTGGCTCTACCGACCACTCAGACTCGATTGACCGACAACTTTAGCTCAACCAACCACTCCAGCCCGATCGACCAATCACTTTGGTCCGACCAGCCACCCCAACCTGCTCGACTAATCACTTTGGCCCTGTTAGTCATCTTAGAACGACTGAGCCCGTCAGCTACGTTGCCCCAAGTTGATCACTTTGGTTGACCAAGCATATCAAACAATTAATTTTATTTGCATGGTGTTTGTTTCATGTGGTTTGCATTTGCATATTCACCACTTACGCCCTTATTATACACTTATGGGCATAAGCCCTCATATACCCATGTCGAGTATTTGTGCCTCCCATGAACAAGCTGCTCCACATGTTTGCTCTGTGATATCTCGGTGTCATGGTGCCCTACATCATTCGTGGTTTTCACCGCACTAGCGTACTCTCATATGTCTGCTTTGCATGTCATCGTGCATGTTCATGGTTCCACATATTTGAGCCTTGCTCGGGTCACTGTTCCTGCACACCCATCCCGGGAACCCACATGTCTGTGTCGGGGACAACTTGTGTATCAAGTTCCCCAATGCGCAATTCTCTCCGACGAGGATTACTCTACTTCTTTCCTATGGCACCAAAGTAGATTGTCATATAATTTCTCCTCGAGTGAATGTACCTTGTGCACACTCATATCATTGGGTTATTGCCTCCACGGCACACCCATCTTTCGGATTTTACCTCCACGACACACTCATTCTTCCGGGTCATTGTTTCCATATATCACTCATTCTTCAGTTCACTGCCTGAACCGCATACAAATTCCCTCAGTTCGTTGCCTTTACAGTGTGCCCACCTCTACAGGTCAATGCCTCCATGACATACCCATTTCTTTGAGTTGCTACCTCTACGACACTCCCACCCCTTTCAAGTTGCTGCCTTCATGACACACTCACCCTTTCGGGTCACTGCATCCAAAACACACTCACCTTTAAGAAAAAATATTTGGCCCATTGCCGTCGGGTTACGTCGAATACTTCAATAAAAACAAATTTTGGCTTCGGGTGCACCTACACCTTCAGTTTTATGCGGACCCGTGATATAGTTTGCGTGCACCCTCACCTTTTGCTCTTTCGATGCGCTTGCACTAGGCTCGTGTTGGACCTGCACCAGGCCTGTTATATTTTAAAATCATGTAATTAGTAAAATAAGCCATATGTGTGGCTAACACATCTGAAATTTTTTTTGAGTGACAAATATTACACCCCTTGGATCTTTAGGATAGAGTCGGATTTGACTACCCCGTCAAAGTCATATAGTAGCCCCTCTACACCACGCATGCACTTAGAAGTTGTGACTATGACACTTTTTGTTGCATGGTGTGCTAGGCTAGAAATAGAATACTTAGGTAGAGTTCTTTTTTTTGTTCTTTGATGTTTAGTTGTTATGGTCAAACATATTTTGATTGCTACCTTTGTGTATTCACTAAAGTTTGAGACTTGTGCACTATAATATATAGGGGCGGTCTTCTTGCAATGAGTAATGCCTAAAATGAATGAAAGAACGAGGAGCAAGTAATGATTTAAATACTAACACTTCCTGCACGTGCTGCTAATACTCTCCTCTTGTTAGACATGGCTCATTATGTGTTACATGAACATAAACCATGCTAACCTCTTCTAAAGGCTTTTTTTTAACTTTTCCATGTATTTTTCTTAGAGTCCTTTGAATCAAATATGTATCATTAATAAGGTTCGAGCATAAGTTTTGAGGCACTTAATGAATTGAACCATGTGACGATGACCAAGAGTAGTATACTCACATCCCCTATATTAATTTTGAAATTTTTATTTCATGTATATAATTAGGACAAGACATATAATGTGAACTCCAACCACTCTTCTTACTTTTTTGGGACATGTCGCCGGCCCCACATCACTCCATCTTTTATATATTTACTTGACTTGTTTTACAGCATGCCTGCTATTTTCTCTTTATTAGCTTGTAGTTTGTCTGAGCTCATAAAAAAATGTAATATAGATTCATTAAGAACCCAAAAATATATTTTCAAAATATCATAATAATAAAAAAATTAAAGAGAAACTAAAATTTAGGATCAAAATAACCCAATTTTAAAATGAATAATTTTTTTGCTTTACTTTCCTGCATGACCTTTGACCAGATTTAGAATAGCCTGCATTGCATGAGTATATCCTAAATCATCCCTAATAGGGCACCTGCATGTAAATTTAATTGTAAACAACTTCAACATTTTGCATGTCCTAAGAAGGATCCCCTTTACTCTTTCAATCTACTAAGTCAAGCATAAAATTTCCACTTAGGAGGTTGTCTAATGATGTCGTTACTGTTTAAATGCAATAGTATAACAATGTCTTTGATGATATTTTTCACTTATGTTTTCTTACTTTGCAATATAACAAAAAACTTGATCTTGGAGAAAATTAGAATTTAACTTTTTAATATTGAGATACTACGCAAATATACGTATCGTTATCAAGTAATATATAACTTTTTGATTAAAAATTGAATATCGAACCCACAGGGAAAATAGCAATAGACACTGTTGATCAACAATCTTTCTATTTCAAAAAGACAATTAGTTAAACTATAAATATTTTTATTGTAATTAAAAGTCAAATCTTTTTGGTATTTTTTTTGTATTTTGACAAAACAATAACAACTATTAAAGATAACTTAAGTTTATGCAAAGAAAAGTACTTATTATGAAACTATATTTCTCCTTATCATGAATCAGTAAAAAATATAAGATTTTTGTTGTGAAAGTATGCAAATTGTGTTGTGTCAAATATGAGCAATATTATTCTTTATTCTTACTAGGATGCTATAAAGAACATTGACTAGTTTAAAGTTTGAATAGTTATGAAGACCGGCTAGACAGAGAAGATATCAGTACTCATCCTAGAGTTCCCTTGATTCTCTTCACCTGAGGGCTAACATCTTGTATTAGAACCTAAAACAATAAACTAAGTTGGGGACTTTAACCTGTCACTTTAAAGTTCTCTAACTCTACACCTTCAAAGATTATTTTCCTATTTATTTGCACTAAATCCTATGAATTACATTCTCGTTCATACAATCTCCTCGTTCATACAATCTCATGTGACTACCTCAAGTGATTCTTTCCAAATATTGACTGAGACAATAACAACCTGTACTATTCTTACATCACAACAAATTTTAACATCTGGATAGATTAAATCAAGAAGTAAATGAAGTGCATGGAATTAAATTATCACAGTTCCTTTCAACATTAAAGATTATTACTCTCCACAACTTCCATCCAACACTTTAATTACTTATCATTTTAAGGAGAAAGATAAAGAAAACTACTCAGAATCCATAGAGAAAACAAAATCATAATTTACTTTAAAAGTAGAAATCATTGTCAAACCAATAAGAAATCTCGATTAAATCTAAAAGTATTTTAAAAACAAAAGATAAAAATTTATCTCAAATCCTCCACCAAACCCTTGAAGTTTCTTTGAATCTCATCTTTTTTACAACACTCTTTACTCTCAAAATAAAGTTAAAAACAAAAATGATAAAGTAAATTTGTGGTACTTAAAAATCTCTCCAAACTATCTCTAGAACTTCTCAGAACTCTCCCTTTCCAAAGACTTTGAGGACCCTTCTAAAAGTCTCAAATTCCTTCTTTTATAATTTTCCAAGAGGTGCCTTGATAAGTATTCAAAATGTGTCTAAATTCGATGAATTCTCCAAATGATGCCTCCTTTCACAAGTCTTCTAACCATATTTCCATTTCTAATGGTCATAACCATCTTCTTTAGCCAATAAGTGCCTCAAATGTCCCTTCAAAATTTGGCAAAATAAAGTAAATTGTCACATAACTGCCTCTGGTGTTCAGGCGCGAGGTCTTTGGCACTTAGGCGCTGTCATCTCTGTTTCACTGGTGCTTAAGCGCCGGATCTAGCGCTTAGGCGCCAAAACTCTATTTCACCATTTTCACATATTTGCTTCAAATTTGATCATTTTTCACTCTTTTTGGCATTTTTCACCTTTTACTTGTACTTGAAAGAAAAACACACAAATGTCTTCCATTAAAGCACAATATCTAAAAAATAGGTATAAAATGTATCTAAAAACACTAAATATTTTAGGTGTATCATCTAGCACAACTAAAGTGTTAAAGTTGTCCCAAAGCAAGATGGGGAATAAGTCATTTATTGGGGGTGGTTCCGAATTTGTAGCTGGACCCCATTTTTCTTTTCACTTCAGTGGCATCTTCATCATTTAATTGACAAGTATAAATCCCATCTTTATTTATCTTACCACTTGTAGAATTATAGGAAATTATAAGCTTCTTTCTCTGGCCTTAGGGTTACCAGGATTCCCTTGGACGACACAATTCATAGATTGCCAACAAGGAGTTCCGAATCGGGTTAAGTCAACTATCTTGGGATGACAAATCCATGTTATCTTGACCTAACTACCTTTACTTGTTTAAGGATTCCTCCTCTTTATGTCGACACCTTTTTTGAGCCTTGTCGATCCCCTTAAAAATTTTTTGTCATTGTCTTGTAGCCCCCGCATGCCTAGGCACCGCCGCCCGTAGTGGATACGATGATTCACCCTCTGCTCACGACCCGATATATGTGTTAAAAGCATCAAGATTCTCCCACTTTAGATGATAAAAAAATCTTTTATTTTTTATAAATAAATGGATATCATAAATATTGTAAGTGAGACCCTTTTTATCGAGAGTATTATTGAGCATCCCCCAATATAACCCTAAACCCTACGCATGCATTGAATTCTATTTTTGTTCTCGAATCTATGATAGGAAAGAGCTGAGGAAGAATGATGATCAAGAAGTCCATTACTAAGAAGTAGTGATCTGATCTCGTCTTGCTTGCTGGGAGAGAGGAAGCTTCCTTGAACATTGCATCTATTGCATGAAAATCAAAAAGTGTGACAAAAGAATTCAAAGTGTAATTAACTAAATAAATACATTATTTTGGAAGCTGCTCTTGACCCAGAACAAAGACAAAAACTTGATTCTTTGGTTGTGGGTTGCTTTATAGGGTTTTCTTCGCAGATATGTTTTCAAGTTGCATCGATCTAATCTCATTTAGACCAACATTATTGAGCTATCATGCAAATGTTACCTTTTGAAAGATCCTCAAGTTTTTTTTTAATTATTTATCCATTTTCATCGTATTTTCTTTATTTATGGTTTCTCTCTTCTTTGAATTATCTTCGTGCTTCAAAAGAGAAATTTATTTGGAAATACAAATATGACGATGATAAGACAAACTAGAGACTCAAAAAGTTACAAAAAGAATGAAAACAAATTATCAACTCAGCTGGAGAAGAACCCCTCTCTCCAAATTAGAAGCTTTACTTACAAAATTAATGATCCAATTTCTTTCCTTGTGTCGCTTTTTGCACCATTTGAGATCTTTGGATCTCAATACATGTGTCGGTTACTACGGTTAGTGTCTTGACTACTTTTCGTCCCTTTAACACCCTCGACATGTCGGTTATTGCGCTTCGTACGTATTCAATTTTGTTGTATAATTTTATTATCTTTCTGAATTTATTTAAAATTTGATTAGTGTCTCTTTTGATTATATAAATGGACAATCAAATAATGATCGTGATCGAGTCTGTTGGGGGAAGAACATAATCTCTTTCTCCCCAAGTTTGTTCGAAGTGAAGCAAGGGGCCATCACTTTTGGTTCTTTCAATAACTCTGCTAGGATCACCGTGGGCAATCTCACAGCAGCTGAGGCGTTGGTCATGTGTCCTCCTCTAAAAAAGGGTAATCAAGCACATGGTACTCCTATTGTTGCAGTAGCTTGTGTCGATTCTACTCCTCCCTTGAGGAAGAGGCCAGTATCTGATGGCGACGTGCCATAACACCACTCAATATTCTCTATGCTCACAAGCACGTATTCGATTATTAAATGAATTTTAATTTAAGCTTTACTTGAGCTTATTCCATAAGTTTAAATTAATATTTAGTCAATTTTCTTCATAAGCTTTAAATTGATCTTATTTATGGACTTCATTTGAGACAGTTTATCGAGCTTATTCACAAGCTTTAAATGATATTGTTCATGAGCATAAACTAATCGAAAAAGGAGGCGTTCGAGCTTGATCATTTAATAATTGAGCATTCATAAATTATTTAAACTTGTTCAATTAGTTAATCAAATGGACATAAATGAGCTCTTATCAAGCTGAGTTACAAATAACTTGTCAAACACTCGGTTTATTTGTAGCTCTAGTGTCACATGCACTTTTATATCAGAATAATGATCACTAATAAGTTCAACGACCCCTCATTAGATATCTACTCAAAGAAGCTTATGAAATTTGATCCTAATTTGAAGCTAATTATCATTATATTAGATATAAAGTCAGACTGACATTGATTTAATTAATGGGAAAGTTTGATAATAGCACAAGTAAGCTGTGACTTGTGTAAGAGAATCCCTGAAAGCATCATTTTTGAAGTTACAATAATACATTTTTTGCTACAGAAAAATAGAAGTATAACAATTAACATATAGCTTGATAGTGAAGGATGTTTCAAGTATGCACATGGCTTAATAAACGTGTGTTGTCTAATGTTAATTGTGGATTAAGTATTTTTTAATAAATGTTGTGGAGGTATTTTGCACGTGGCAGTGGCATAAGATGCTAAATTGTCAATACATAGATTTATCATATAACATTTATAGTAGTTGACTGAAAATATAATTAATTATGGTTGTTTTCATGACCAGACTAAGAGATTTAAAAGGTATAAGAAAAATTTTGACTTTTTTTCAATATGTAAAAAAGTATCATTGATGATTTATCAATCATTTTTCTTGACATATGTTATGAGCCTTTCACTTATTATATGACAAAGACTATCACATAAAAAATCAAAATTGACGATTTTTATAAGTGATATTACTAAACTTCCAAAACTTAGAAAAAGAGCGGATGCTAAAAACTGGATCATAACTACTCATCTATAAAATGAAGTTGACTTTGAGTGATGGGCACATGCTTTCTTCCTTAAAAATTAATATAACTTAATGATACATGATATTTTAGAAAGTTTTAGTAATGTTATCAAGAGTGAATGCTCATATGAAGTGATAACCTTATTGAAGCGTTCGAAGCACATTAAATATAAAAATGATTATTCAATAGACACACTAAAGGAGCAAATATAAGAGATACTTTGGTAAAACGAAATATCATTGAAAATGCTCTTGAATAAGGCTTCATGCTTGGTTGTCTAACCCATTAGTTAATTTGAAGTACACATCTTTGATGATAACCTCAATGGTGATGTTACTTTATAGAAGATGACAGACACATTTAAAATATTTAATGTTATAAATCTTTTATTGCATTATTTGTAGCTTGGGAGCTAGTTGCCATTATAACTCAATGCTTAAGGTTTTGTGCAAAGTATAGTCAATATTCAATTGAAGAGGACATATAAGAGATTTTAGATAAAATAAAAATAATTATTATACTAACTCAGCAAAGTTAAACAGTGACTATTCATAAAGAAAAATATAAATACTTTAAAGAGGGAGAAGAATGCAATGTAACATAGACATTGTCAATATCAAGTTAGAGATTATGATTGAGCTATTTATCAAACTAAATGCTTTCCATCTTTATAGTTGTTTATACTTCTTTATTTTTCAGCAATGTTCAAACATCATTAAAGTGCTAATCAAACCAATTTGAATCATACACAAATATAATTTAAATAATATTCAAACATGATTTCATTACCATTCAAATATCGTTCTAGTAATGTTTGAATAATTTTCTAATATAATATAATAGATTTGACTAAATGCCTACAAAATACAAAAAAATTATTCGAATAATATTTGAGCTATATTAAAAAAATACAAATAAGTTGCTATAATCCAATACCTATATCAATCACAATTAAAAGAGTTATATCTTCATATAATATTCATAAAATAATAATATTATTTACTGCAATTAATCTATACAGCTATAAGATGAGCATAATTAGAATATGCAAATAATATGCAGATTACCCCCTAATTTTTTAAAAAATAAGTTTTGAACCTTTGGAATTTCTATTTGCCTCTGGGAAGTTCCCGACACTGAGCTGACTTCTGGAGTAAGCGGCAAAAGCTTACTATCATTCTGTCCATTTTGCTCGCTATCCACATTCTTCCACATTCCACACCACATCCACTAGCCGGAGCTCCTCAGTTTCTCAGCCCTAATGGCCACATACCTACCATCCACTGCCGTTCCTTCGCCATTCCTCCGATTCCCTGCGTCGCCTTTTAAGGTACGCCATACCCGCATTTCTCCTCTCTTAGCCATCTCTAAAATCCTTCATCTTCTCCTTTTGGTAGGGAAACTTTGGTCGCCTTAGACCCAGTGGTTCCTCTCTATTTTCTTTCTCGAGAGCACAAGGTCAGTCTATTTCAACCTCCTCGTCGGGGAAGCGTTTAATCCGTTGCCAGGCTGCATCTGTCGCTGTGCTGGAGACCACTTCATCAACTTCGCCTGCTAGGTTTCGGCTGAACAATCTGGGACCTCAGCCGGGATCGAGGAAGAGGAACAAGAGGAAGGGACGGGGTATCGCGGCTGGGCAGGGGAATAGTTGTGGATTTGGAATGAGGGGGCAGAAGTCGAGGTCTGGTCCGGGGGTGCGGAAGGGTTTCGAGGGTGGGCAGATGCCGCTCTACCGGAGGATTCCTAAGCTCCGTGGAATTGCTGGAGGTTTGAATTTTTGTTCTGATTTTGTTATCAGACTTTTTTCTGAAAGTTTTCGTATTATTTCAGGAAATATATCATCTATGTAATTATTTAGTTTACTAACTTAATTTATTATATATTTTTTCAATTTTCTACTATAGTTTTCCGCGCACGATCATCTGAATTTATTATTGGGAAACCTCTTTTTTATAATTTTGTATTGTTCTATATATTCTCAATTATTTCATGGAAAGAATGTGCTGTAATTTCTCAAATACTGGAGCATTGATCTAATGATTCTCCCTCAAGATATTGGGCCTTTTCTCTTGCTTCATTGATGTCAAAGTTACCCCCGCTTCTCTTGGCTTCTTTTATCACAGAGATAGCATGTCATTGTTCTACTATTTCGTATATAAATGGCTGATGTCCAAACCCATTGTTGCAACTTTTTCCACCGAGCTTATGCTTATAATTCGCTTGGGCACTACCTCATAGATTCCAATAAGTATAATACCTCTGTCGGAAATCTTTGGTATGTCTGTTACAGGACCTAATGTTATCTTTGCTGTGAGCAAGCTCTTACAATTCACATACCAACCAACATTAGAGCATTCATAAGCGAGTATTAAGATATTTATGTGAAATGATAGAATTGTTATTGTCATTTATCATGAGGCCTCTCTATCACATTTATTTTCTGAAGTTGATTGAGCAAGCAATAAGGATGAATATACCTCCACTAGTGCTTACATTGTGCATCTTTGCTACGGGTTCTTCTCATGGTTCATAAAGAAATAACATTAATTACTCATTCCTTTATTAAGGTTGAGTATAGATTTGCCGTCTCCAATGCCGCCTAACTATGCTAGATATATTCTCTCACAATTGAACTTAGTAGAACCCATCTATGCTCTATCCTATTTTTTTTTACCCTAACATTAATCATATTGTAAAAAAATATGATTATTGTTGCTGCTAAACAATTCTCAATGACTGAGAAAAAATATTAAGTTCTATCTCATTAAAACTATTTAACAAACATAGATAGAAGTGATAAAATACATTATTATTTTTTACTTAAAAAAATTTAAAAGGAGAAAAGTATGAATGACACAATTAAGTGGTCCACAATATAAGTGGTTACATAATTTTACTCTTTTCTTCTATCTGGAAATACAAAATAATTATGCTTGTTTGTTCTTTTGTTGTTATAATAGGGGTGGCTAGATGGCAATGCCAATTATCTTATATTGGTTGGACAACAATAGCCTAGAGGTATTGACAACAATAATTGTATGATAATAGTTGGGAGACCACAGTCACTGATGTTGGTTGCCTCTAGCTCTTTCCACAAATTTAGATTTAGTCTTTAGCTCTTGTATCTTCTTCATGTAGAGAATGTAGGTCCATTTATTATTTTTGAGAGTAAGACTTTTATAAATTTAGCCAAAATCTCATAACTATTTATCGGATGGTCCTTGTTGATGCTTTTAATCATAGACTATTCTTTTAGCATTTAAATATCTAAATGAAAAAAAGGTACCTTAATGATTTAAGAATTAAGTGATTTTAGGTTCTTTGAATTTCTTCCTTCGAGATACTTGATTTGATAATAAGCATGCTAATTTGGAGATCATTATACTTTAAATATTTGATTTGGGCTTATTTGAATTTGGATTGAATCATTTTTGTTGTTGTTGAGTTCATATTATTTTGGTGTCCAATTAACTATAAATTTGCTATTAGAGTTGGGATAATCCTAAATTTGAATATGAAAGTTATCTCACTTAAACTGCATCAAGATTTTTTCTTGATCATGTGAATTTTTTGGTGACATTTCAATTGCTTCCTGTTTTTAGGCATCAGAGTTTGTGGTGTACGAAAATGCATGCTAAATCCTTAAAAAAAATTATTGTTTAGAATTATAATTTCGAAAATATGAGTGTGAACCTCCATTGGGACTATAATCATGTAAAGTCATGTTAATCATAAAGTATGATTTTTTTAAATTGGCACATCGATCAAATCAAATTTATTATAATATTAAAAAAATTTAAATTATTTAAAATTAGTTTAGTTAAAAAAATAATAAAATTGAGTCCAAAGTGTCATAATGATGGAATAGCCAAGCTAGGGCTCAAAATATGGTAGGTGGCCGCTGCCGTAGATAATGGTGCACACGTGCTTAAGAGTGCCCGCGACAGCAAGCGTAGCAAGTATGCATATGCATGTACGTGCAAGAGTGCCCACACTCAGGTGCACATCCGCGTAATAATGCGTCCAGGGATGTGTTTGTGTGCAGTGAGACATGTCTATGAGCAGAGAGTTGTGCTCAAATATTTTTTTACACAAGAACCGCTTGTGCGAACCCAGATACACACATGAGAGCGGCGATGTGCGAATGACTGCTAAGTCCCTAGAGTTTTTGACCATAAATACCCCATTGAGGATAGAAAAATTTACTTCTCTTTTTTTTTGCAAGCTTGATCCCAAAATTATAGATGCGTAAAATAAATAAAATTGACTCCGCTTTGTAGCAACACTAAAAACTTGATTCGTTATTTATGAATAAGAAATTGAAACAATTTATGTTGGGATTCTACGCAAGTATACATATCATTATCAAGTAATACAAGACTTTTTGTTTTAGCCCCAAATATCAATCTCACGAGAAATGTGTAAATTCGTAATGAAAATTTAAATCAGGAAATTCACAACAATAAAGAAAATTTACTACACTAATTTCTTACTACACTAAAATGTTTAGGGTGCTATCAGAACTAAATTACCAACTACTAGCAAAACTGTAAAATAAAGCTAAGCAATAACTACCAAACTATATTTTTGTGACGAAGTTATCCAATATGAGAAAACATCTTTCCCACTACAATGAGTTTTTGGTTAAATGAGAGAGATAAATGATTTTACCATGTCTTGTGCCAATAAGAGCAATTTTAATTCTCTATATTCAGTCAAGTGTAAGAAAATCGTTGGCTAATCTTACGTTTAGTCTCTATATTCATGGTTAGACTGAGAGGATACTCACTCTCACTCTAGAGCTTTCACTTCTTCTCCCCTGAAGGCTAACTCTCGCTTTAGCACTAAGATCAAATTGGGGGATTTTAGTCTGTCACTCTAGAATTTTCAATTCTTTGCCCAATAATATCTATATTTCTCTATTTATTTGGACTCAATTTCATGAACGAAATACTTCTTCATGGAATCGAATGTGATTCTCACTTTGTTGTGAAACTCATACTCCATTTCCCGGATAGTATGTTTCACAACAAATGTTAACATTTCAATTGATCAAATCGAAAAGTAAACTAAAATGGAGTGAAAAAATCATCTTAATTTATTTTATATTTTAAAATTGGCACATCCAAATTATCTCTTTATTCTACCATATCTCAGAGTAGAGAGAAAGACAAAGAAAACTACTCAGACCCCATGTGAAAGATACGACAAAATACGAATTTCATGAATAAAAAAAAAGTTTATACAACAATAATAAACAAACAACACTTATCTTTAACTCTTCCTCAAAGCAAATTCCTTGTAGCTCCTCTTGGACTCTTTCTCTCTTTACAAGACTCTTAATTCTCTCTTTGAAGATGTAGGGAAGAAATCTCTCACTTCTCTCCCTCTCCAAAAACTCTTAGGAGAAATCACACTTAGACTCACCACACTACACAATACACACAATGAAACACAAATAAACTCAATGACACACTAACAAACTCTTTTTCTGATAAATTTTCGCTCTAAATAAAGCATAATGTCGGTTTTCTAAGAGGTGTATCAAATAACTCTTTAAAAAGCGTCCAAATTCGTCGAATCTTCTAAAATTTTGCCCTGCACTGACTTTTGCCTTGCATCAACTTCAGCGCCGTCAGCCCTCACGATGGCGCCGTCGGCGCCCATGGCCCAAAATTAATTCGGTGCTCTTTGTCAAATGGCGCCGTCGACACCCAATCTGGCGCCGTTGGCACCCCCGCTGTTCTGAACTCCTTCATTCTTGTTGGCGCCGTCGGCGTCCATGCTGCACCGTCGACGTTGAGTATTTCTCTCCAAAACGCCATTTTGACTTCAAATTCCATCTTTTTTGCTTTATTTTTGCTTCAAGTGCTAAAAATCAGAAAATATTAAAATACCTTACATTAAAGTGCAATATCACAAAAAATAATTATAAAATATGGGTCTTAAAAATAAATATAAAATATAGGTCTAAAATTACATATATTTTTGGTGCATCAAAATTCCCCAAACTTAAATGTTACTTGTCATCAAGAAACTCTTTACTATATAAAAATATGACTTATAGTAAAGAGTTTAACTTATAGATTTCCATATTTTGGTTTACTAAATATCATAGCATAACTTAAAGAAAAATTTAAAATAACTCATGTTAATACTAAAGATATAAGAATATCTAGCAGTCAAGTATAAGTTTTCTGATTCTCTATTCTTTTCAAGGAAAATTGCAAATTGTCATATTAAAGCCACTTAGAATATCTATATGAAAAATAACTTCATGAAAACTTTACTAGTAAATATGCTAATACTTAAATACAAGTTTACAGAATGTAGCTAAGCTTTCTCCTTAAGTTGATTCAAGTGAAGCCAAATTTTGATTAGACATTTCCTCACATATTTTACTTTTTTTTCTCTCCTTTTTTTTTTCTTTTGCTTTTTGTTTTTCTTCTTTTTTTGTTTTTCATGTAAGAATTACTATATCTGGATGCCTTTAATAATTTTGAACTTCATTATACTCTTCTTAAAGTAAAAAAACTTTTCACGTTCCTTCACTTTATAAATTTATCTTAGCTTTGAAGATTTTTTATAAAGTTTCAATATTTTCTTTTTACATGAAACTCTAAGATTCTCAATACTTTAAAAATACAAATTCCTTTACTTAAAATGGAAAAAAATATATTCTTATTCTCTCATATCAAATACTATAATCTCTAGAATTAATCTTTATCATTGAAAATTTTTACTTAAGCTTACTATATATTTAAAAA